GCAGCGAAGGAAGCGCTGGACGAGGCTGGTGCACTTCGAAAGCCTGAGAACGCCTGGAAGTTACGACCGGATATGTCAGGTGGGTGCCGTACCGGAGCCTGCTAAGGTGATGCGCGAGGGAGCCCGAGTCCGAGAGTCAGAGTCTGTTTGCAGATGATCGAAAGCCAGCCGCAACTTTAAACCTGCAGGCCAGCGCTGATGCCAAGGTGCGACTGCACTAGTCGTGGACTGGATGTCGTGCAATGGATGACTTCACTGGCAGGCTGCGGAATCCAAGCCAGGTGCAAAGCCAAGCGGCGTCCGTCACTTAGTACCAGTGGGTGGTGTGAACAAACAGTACCAACCATTAGCCACTACACGCTCCGCGCTCCAGGAAAAGTACGATTCTGCGCATGCCACAAGACCGGGTGTCGCTGTGGCGAAAACTCGCAATTTGGCCACCGACAGTGTTCGACATTGGAGTCATTAACTTCTTGAAGAATGCATTTTTGGAATTAGAACGAAGAGCTCCTTCTTACGCATGCCAAATTTGGTCAGAAAATCATTCGAACAAGAACAAGTGAAAAGAACTTCTACAAGAACGCGTGTTTTCCATTTTTGTTTGATGATCCAGCGAGCGGAGTTGGGTTCGTTCGAGTCCTCCAACCCCCAGGTTGAATCTGGTCAACTCCAACCCATGCGATGGCCAGCAGACCTTTAATTGCGTGTAGTGGCTGATGTTTCGGTATTGTTTGTTCACATCACCCCAAATCGTGCAACATTGAATGATAAACAAGCGAGCGTATAGCGTGAAGTACCTGTCTCTGTGCAACAATAACATGCACAAATTTGCATGTACACTCGTTTTCAGCCACTTTTAACGCGTTCCGAAGCGCTGATGGAACGTCTTTTTTTTGATCTTCAGTTTTGATAAATCCAGAATGGTCGCTTTGCTGTCTGTCTGTCTTGCTTGTCTGTCTGTCTGCTGTCTGTTTGTCTATCTGCTGTCTGTTTGTCTGTATGTCTGTCAGTCTGTCTCTGTGTATCTGTTTCTGTCTGTCTCTGTCTCTGCCTGTCTGTCTTGTCTGTTGCTGCAAGCCACGTGGCTGCTTTTTACACAAAGGAGAGTGCTTCGCATCTCTTGGAGAACAGCGCGGACATGTCAATAAGCCCAATTCTTTATTTTGGCCAGCAGCCAGCCGAAGCCCCGGATCACAATGATTTCAAGTGTCGGATGGAATTTTATCCAAGAAGCAGGCAGCAGGTAAGCTGCACAAAGTTGCAAAACAATAACAGGCTCGTTTTTTGCAAGCTGGTTTTCAGATTATGATCCTCTGAAAGGCAAGCTTTGAACTTCCAAGTTGGGATGCTCCACAATTCTCAGACGACACCTTGCTAAAGCTCATAGGTACTGACACTGCGTCAAGACACGGTGAGGTTCCAGCCATCCACTGTCGGACAGCAGGTCCGCCGCAACGATGTGTCTTGCACAGACCCATTTCACTCACTAGAAGCGAAATCTGAATTTGTGCAATCTGTGGATGTAAATCGTCACTCTTACGACCTTTAGGTGCAAGAGTGTCACATCCGCGTTCATTGAATGGTTTGGATCCGCCCGAAGATGTTGTCACTACCCTTTTGCACCTGCTGCTTTTGCTCTTCTTGCTCTGTGCTCAATGTAAAAAACCATCTTTTTTGCAGAGTGGCAGAAAGCGTCTTCTTCTTAACCTGCCACTTCCTGGCTGCCATATGCTGCCATCGTCCAGGGCAGAAAGGTTCAAGGTGGGCGTTACGATGCGTAAGCATCCGGTTCGAACCATGTCCAACACAGGTACTTCATTTGCCGAGCTCAGGGTACTTGACGTTTTTTTGCTAAGGATGAGAAGGTCGGAAAGACGCCCGCTTTGCAGACAAAGGCCACGTGGGACCGGGCAGGGATACAGCGAAGGCATCACGACTTGGTGTGAGTGATGTTCGGGGATCAGTTGCCGCACGTACAATGTCTGTCATAGCTTTTGGGGTTGCGATAGTCGAGGATGTGGCTGTTCGGGGCACTGTACGGTTGAGCAGCCGGTTGCATTTTTTTGCAGGCACCGCCGGCTCAGCCAGCTCCGAAAGCAGCGCCGAAAGCAGCGCCGAAAGCAGCGCCGAAAGCAGCACAGCCGCCTCCAGAGGTGCCAAGAGAAGGCTGGCCTCCGATGGAGGGTCAGGAGTGTGGTGTGCAAACGGCAGGTCCAAAAGAAGCGCCGCCTTTCCGAGATGATGATTTGAGGTGATCTGAGTTTGAAGTTTGGTCTCACACTGAGCGAAGCCTCAGGGAACCAGTGCAGTCTGCACTGCCGGGCATGCACCTGGCATGAATGCTTCTCAGCTGGCAAGTTGCGCTTCACGTGCTTCGCTACAGGGGACTCCCGCGAAGCAATTTTTGAAGCAGCTTCGATGGCACCCGTGATTCTTCCACAGTGCCACCGCGCAAGGCTCGCCTGTGTCGTCGAAGCACATGCTTTCCTGAACGAAGGTTCAGTTGAATAGGCTGCAGCGCCTTGACTCCGTGTAGCAGCTTGTGATGGGTATGGGCAGTGTCAGAAGTCTGAGACTCTTTGGTTTTGGATGGGTTGGGGCTGCAGGAAATTCCATGCTTGCACCAAGACCTGCGGCTTCTGTATGCAAGGCCGAGCGAGCTGTCAGGAAGTGTAGATAGCATCCGAAAATGTGTTAGTTTTGTTGCAGCCACCGAGCTCTCTTCAAGAGGCTTGGTGCTCAATTGGGCCTCGCTCGAAAGGGGGCATGCCCGGAACTTCGCCAACGTAAGCTGAGGCTTAAAGGTTCGTGCCAGTGCGGGCCATGGCAGTAGCATCTGAGGCTTTCAGACCTTTGGTGGATCCGTACCGGTGTGATCATATATGCTTTGGGGCTGACTGGGCTCCTGGGATTCCGTGAACTTTTCTGTTCACCTGCTGGCTTCAATACTTTCTCGTCTTGACCTGCGCTGAGGATGCGAACCTGCGACTCTGCGTGTTGAAAGCCGCCGCAGAGGAAGGGCGGAGTGTGACTTTGAAGCTTCAGTGGCACTCTGGAAGGGCAAGGACAAGAAAATTCAGAAGGGAAACTTGATTAACAGTGTATGGTATTCAATTCCGAGTAGCGGCAAGTAAAACAAGGCCGAACACACTGTACACACTGAGCAGCTTAATGAGGTTTGCCCCCCTGAACATCTGTTTCATCAAGCAGTTCCGCTGTACATTCCGCCTCGCGATGGACTTGCAGTGAGTAGGTTTGAGGTGGTGTGGTCGGCTGCGCGAGGGCAAATGAGAATCTCGTGTGACTCTGCAAGGCCTCGGAGCTTTTCTTCGAGATCTCGCCAGCCCCTTAACCTCTGGTCGTTCTCAGGTGCATGGACATAGTTTATCTGGCTCATTGTAGTACTACTGCACGGGTTCGAGGCATTCTCGTCTGGAAGACTGCTACAGTAGCTGTGCTGAGCATCGAAGATACAGCAGCAGGGCGCGAGGCCAGTCTGAGTTGAGCCCGCGGCAGAATGTTCGGCATCAGGTTTAGTTGTTTTGCCAACAGCCTCCGACAGTCGCAAAACAGAGCAGTGGATATGGGCTGATATGCGTGCTACGGCTAGCTATGGCTAGCTGCTGTAGCCCGTAGGCTCGCTCACAACACACAAGGTGGTTCGATGTCGAGCAGAAGGCAGGTGGAATGCTGCCTTTTCATCCTACCGTCCTACCGCATCATAGATCGCAAGGTCTCAGCGTGCCTTACGTAAGCGGAGACCTGCCACATGCGGATCTGTCTTTGGAGGGTTGGAGCTGGCGGCCGTTCCCCGGACAGCTCAACTGCCTCGGGGTGCGATTTTGGCAGGCCAGAGAAGACTTTGCATCCGCTCAACTCCTGGCAGGATTCAATCGTGCGATTTGGGTATAAGAGATTCTTGTCAAGAGCATTCTCGGCTAGGCTCTGCTGTTACAGCCCGGGCTCGGCTCAAAAGCGAAGGCTTTCCGGACATTTCGGGCGGGGCCATGGACTGGCAGTTGGAGGTGTCGGCCATCTTCAGGAGGACGCCTGAGCTGGAGTTCAGCTTGCGAAGAGATCTTCTGCCGCCCGGCCTTTCTCCCATGCAAGCAAAGTCTTCAACGGATCAAGGTCGTACGGTTGCTACGTCTGTTAGGTTCGACTTCAAAGTTTCTAGCAACTAGTGAATCAGACGGTCCGTCGCAAGCTCGCTACATCTAGTTGTTTTGCGAGCCAGCTGCTCTGCCACAGTTCGCACTGTGATACGCGCTGACAAAACCTCACCTGCAGGTTCGCACGGAACGGCTTCGCAATGCCGTTTCCGCTTCGCGAGGACTTTCTGGGTCAACCTGAAGAGTCCCTGCATTTGCCCATATGGGTTCCTTGGCCTGGCGTCGTGCAGCTTGAGCTGACGGCTATAGCGGCTAGGTGTCAGGGTCGAACCGTGCTGCAGACGTTCCACCCCGCCACTTTGTGATCAGGTTCAATGGGACAGCTGGCAGAAACTCTTGTCTGGGCCTTCCGAGAATCTAGTATCTCGGAAGGAGTACTAGTACAAGCTTTTCAGTGGGGTAAGCTGTCTGCGTCCTATGTGCTGCATTCTGACTTCCGAGTAGAAGCTTGAGGAGGGTTTCTGGGAACGGGAGAAAGAGCTGATCTGCGTGCGTGGTGACCTGGTGCACTGGGTGACAATCGAAGGTCCGGGGCTTGCAAGGATCCATGTCAGATGTAGCAACGTAGACCCTGGAAAGCAACGCAGCGAGCATAATTTGAGGAGCCTGAGAAAGCATCGTCACAAGTCTGTTGCCTTTTATGGCGCGATGCACATCGCAAGTCGCAGAGCAGCACTCACTTCGTTATGTGATGCAACTTACAGTCTCATGAGCATTTTACAACCCGACCTGTCACTCGATGCAGCCATGCAAGCTTTTGCTCAACATCCAAGCTGACTCGCAACAGCTCTAGTTCCAGCCCTATCTGTACTTATCACTCTTCTTCCTCCTCCTCCACATCCTCTTGCTGTTGCGACAGCAGTTACGGCAAGTCCTGCAAATTCCAGCGATGTCCATCGGCGCTGTTCGCTGACAGGCGTAGCCACAAGTCACCGCACCTTCCTGTGCAGGCCAGCCTCGGCTTGTGCAGCAGACGGGCAACGGAAGGCACTGTATTGAAATGATCCAGACTTCTACCGTCGTGTCTAGGTTTTGTGTGATTGCATCTTGCGTTGCAGATGCTCATTCGGTGCATCCAGGTACTCCATCGGCCTCAGCGACGGCAACTCCCTCCGAGCAGCATCAGCTTCTGCCTTTTCTTGACCATGTAGACTCGCGCAGCATCCCTACGCGACGAGAACCTATGTCAGATCAGGTACGTGGTGTGCTGCTCTGCTTGAAGACGGCCTACTTCGCTGGGATGACGGAGATGTTTGGACTCGGCCAGCAGCTGAAAGATTGGTGGCCGTGACACGTTCCCTGGAGCCGTGGCCTCTCTGCGTCTTGCTGCGCTCTCTCGCGGACTCTCGCGACTTCAGCGCTTCGGTTCTGGAAAACCGATATGAGCATCTGAAAAGGCCACGCCGCATGCATGAACATGTTGGATGGTAGTTGAGTATGTACGAGTACGAATGAATCACCGTACTGGTATGAATGAGTGTATACACGTGCTGTCCTGTGCCAAGAGCCGAAAACGAAAACGGAAGGGAACGCCTGGATGTAGTGTCGCAATCGTGGATGGGAGTTTCTAGCTAATTGGGCGGACTGGATTGGAAAGCATGAAGAAGCCGCCCAGCTGTCCAGCTGGTAGTATGGACTTCGTGGCAGTCTCAGGTCCTATCTGGCCTGAGAGCCTTGCAGGTCAAGCCAGCTCTGTCATCGCTCCTCGACTTGCTTTTCATCCTGAGCCGGGCGTAAGCACAAGCACGAGGCGTTGCGGACTTGCTCAACGTTCACCTGCGGATGGACGGGCGACGCCGGAGCATGTATGCTACAAGCCACGAAAACCCAGCAACTCACGAAATCCCAGGAATCTGCAGGCTGCAAGCGTCTGTCAAAAAGCAGGAAACCAGCGTTTAGGCTTCTTCGATCTTGTGTGCGTTTTCACCAGACGCAGTATGTGTTGGCAATGGCTGTGTGCGGCATGTTCTGGAAGGCATCCGACGTTGGAGTCCGGGCGACTGGCTGAAAGCTATGCTCTCTTGTTGAAGAGCCTTGGCTCTTGAATCTCAAAGCAAGGGCGTTCCGTGGCTCATCGGCCTCTTAGCACCGAGGCTCGTCCCGGTAGATGTTGGGCTGCGAGAGCGCTTCAAGACAGCCGTGGCTCAGCTTCCCAGGCTCGTGGAGCAAAGGCCCGGGACTTATCAGGGGCCTGGTCTACGGGAAACCGCATGAGACTGCAGGAGAGAATCGGAGAGAAGTAGGTTTTGGTGCAATGTGTTGAATGCGAAGGAGGCGACGGTACACTCCAGACTTCATTCGGCAGAACTTCCATGTTTTACACGTTGGCCACAGCTTCCTTCACCTGCATTCTGCCGTGTTGCCAGATGGGGAGCAATCGATTATGGCATTCCTCCAGCGAAGCACTTCGATGGACTTGTTCCGACAGGTTCTGTGCAACGACATCGCCCAGCTCCACCCGGAAGACTTGTTGGAGGACTTATTCGCGATGCCTCCGAGTTCCCTGGCACAGCTCCTGCCGCTGGCCCACTTCGATGCGGTGGTGATCCGGAACTGCCCCGCGAAGTTGAGCACACTTGCCCTTCAGAATTTCGCCTCCATGCTCAGAGATGGTGGTGTTCTGATTGCTTTTCCTGCTTACCTCGATGAAAATGCGGAAGTTCCGCAATCCTTGAATTCGTGCTGGGTGGAGCCGTCGGCCAGCGAGGACGGGGTTGTGTTGCAAAGCTGGTCACGGCCGCTTCCAGGCTTCCATCCTCTCTCACCCCAGGGCAAGTCGTAGTCGTCGCTCATTCGCTTCTTCAAGATGCTTACCATGGTCTTGCTCCCTTCACGTCGGTCATCTTCGTGCCGCACACGCATCATTTCGTTCTACCTGACCAGGAGGGGGCCCTGCTCTTCGGCGATCTCAACGGCGCTGTCTGGAAAATGCGACTGCTGCTGCGTGCTTGTCCGCAGGGTTTTAGGCTCGTCCAACTGCTTGGTGGAGTCTGAGACGTGCAGTGCAAACTACAGGAAAGACATCACAACACCAAGGAACCCCAAATTGCAACCTTGCAGTCGCTGAATCAAGTACTTTTTTACTGCCGTAGAGTACGCAAAGCAAGCAGAAGCAGCGAGAGCAATGAAGGGTTTCTGAAAAGTGTTACGAGACATTGCCTGGATGGCGCCCTTGTTTGCCTTATCTTGGAGTTCCCGCTAACAGTGCTCTGAGTCAACTTTGCAAGGCGCTGTTGCGTGTCGCCGGGGGTACGGGCTTCAGCGAGGCCTTGCGAGATTCGCTGCTTTTGTTGGCCTCGGAGCCTCGGTTTGCTTCACCGTCTCCTCGGTGTTGTCGTCTTCTTCAGTCCAGTCCATGATGTCCCAGAAGACCCCAGCCCTGGCAAGAAAGAAAAGAAGACTTGCTGGGGGTCACAGGTCTGTGAGTCGTGCCAGTCTGTGTCTGTTTTCACGGCGGCTTCAAAGCGCCCCAAACACGGGGAGGTCCTGGTGGCCAGGGAGCCTGGACCGTTCCCTATACCTTGGGGAAGAAGGCTACCAAGTCAGTTCTTTTGCGTTCACTTACCCCAGCCTACGGACTTTCGCACTCTCCCACAAAGCCGGCAAACGCGGGCGGGTTAGCGGGCCGGGGAGCTTGAGACGGGAGATGGGAGACGGAGAGATAGATGGAGAGCCACGTCGTGTGGCAGAGGTCAAAGACAGAAAAAAGAAAGAAAGAAAGAGAAACATATGAACGACGAGGGTGAGAATGCACTTTGCTAATGCGGCTGCAGGATCCCCCTCCAGCCACTACCTGGGCAATAGGCAGTCCCGAGAGAAGAGGAAGAGCAGGAGGGCGAGACTTGTGGGAGAGCATTGAGTCAGCAAAGGCATTTACGTGGATGTAGACGTATTAGATGGCCTGCAAATATTCTCGAGAAGCACGGGGAGATTGGCTGTTCGGAGAATCCCTCGGGCTTCACGCGGCAAGTGGTGCACTGCCGTTGTAGCTGAAGTAATTATGCCTTTGCCTGGCAGTGTAGAGAGTTGGGACGAGCTGCAATACAGCGGACAGCATGCACCCGCATTGTCTCGCCGTCGGTGCAGTCGGCTAGGACTGATGCCTGCTCGCTGTTTCGGGTTGAAGAAGAGACGAGAAATCAGAAGAAAAGACGAGAACGCAGACAAAGAGAAGAGTGGTTTTATAAACACATAGCAGGTCGTGGAGCAGTTCAGGACCTTTGCCTTGAGCTTACGTGACATCCACGTGACCAGCTGGGGTCTGCATTCGCATGCGGAAACTTGTTTCACCAGAATTTTTCACCGTCTATGCTGTCTCCATGCGCAGCTGTCACTTCAACGGTCACCTGCGCAAAAAACATCTTCGTCGCAAGGAAAGCTGAATCGCTTGAGCTCAGGTTCGCAGTCCACAGGTCTTGAAATCAGGGAGGAGGTGCCCTGAAAGTTGGATGTGACACTCTCGCAGTCTCTTCGTGTGAACTGAGAGCTGGAATCTTTTGATTGAACTCGTAGGCGGTGTCTGTACCAGCTGGCCGTCGGAAGCCCGGCATGGGGAAGATTGCGCATGTGGGTATGGGCACGGCATGGCATGGCCAAGGCAATCGCTGCCTCTCACGGACTGCGGAACGACTGCTACCACTTGCTCGTCCATGGGTCATCGCCTCGGTCCTGTACTTCTGGTACTGGCTCGTTCCTCTGTTTGTGGTAGAAGAAACAGAACTATGTCCTTCATGTCCGGCAAGACAATGAAAGAAAGGGCCGAGGGGAACGAAATAAGGAGAGAGAAGGGAGAGACGCCCAGATCCGGGGCTTGTTGTGGGCCCATAGCTTCTCATGTGTTGCCGTCGTGCCTTTAAATTACACTCCGCTTCCGAGACCTTTCAGGTGCTGCACATGCCAAAGCTGCTAATGCTACCCCCTTAGAATACAAAACCTTTCCCCTGTCCTCGCTGCCTCTTGTACAAACATGATTCGAGGAAGCTTGCAGCATGTAGCTTTTCGCGCGTTTGACACCTTGTGACTTTCCGAAACGCTGAGGAGACAAGGGCTCATATGCGGTGTATGGTCTTACTGTTAATGACAAAAATCCTGCGTTACCTTAAGGACCCTGAACTATAAGGAATTATGGTATAATTATTCCTTATGATGATATAAATCCTGCAGTACCTATAATAAGGAATATACCATAATTCCTGAAAGTTTAGGGTTCTTAAGGTAATGCAGGATTTGTATCATCAACCATAGTGCGTTCTTGGATGTTCTTAGATGTTGTGCTGGTCAGTGTGTGGGATTGTATGGGGTAAACTTGTAAACCTGCCAAACCTGGGACACGACCACCCCAGCAGATGTTGCGCAGAAGCCGGAATCTCCGAGCGGGGGGAAGCTGATTCTTTTTATCGAGGTAGTGGTATCGAAGCTGTGCTTCAAACGCAGACCTGTGTCTTGACAAGCCCCGTAAGCCTGGGAGAAGAAGAGCGACGCCCGGAAGGAAGAAGGACGGAAGGAAGAGAGATGCAGAAGCTGAAGGTCCTAGCTGCTTTAGCCCTCACGTTGACAAGCTTTGTGGACATGGAATGGTCTTGGCAAGCCCCGTGCCGAGGCTTGGACGCTACCGCACCACCCACTCTCAGCCTTGGTCTTACTGTCCTTTTCTCATTGAGGAGACCGATTAAAGACGCGTCACCCTGAGGCGGTCGGTTCTGGAAATTCTCACACAGCTTGTCACTGAGTCGCAAACTCAGATACCTCTGTTAGGTAGTGTAAATCCATTATTCCATTGCAATGTTTCTGGAACCAGTGCCAAATCCAAACGTATTGCAGCTGAGTCTCAGTGTGCATGCGAGATTCTTGAACTCTCCTTTCTGGGAATCCCCTCAAACAAGGCCCCTCACCTCACCAACTGCCTCAGCCATCATCGCATTCCAACCTCATAACCATGAGTGAGGAAAAGATGTGTCAACAGAAAGAGAAACACTCTGGCTGCAGCTCTTTCTGATAGCTCGGCAAGTGCCAACTCCAAACGTTCTGCAGCGGAGTCTAAGCCTGCATGCGAGATTCTTGAACTCTCCTGTCCGCACCCAAGGAACGCAGCAGAGGCATCGAAGGCGAGAGCCTGAGTGCGCCTTCAAGTCGGTTTGGATAGGATTTGGATCTGCGCAAAGCCAGTGGACCAGGAGTCTTCGCTACTCTGCCGTGTCTCGTGCTCGCCCGGCTCTTACAAGCCCAAGTCTTGTGGTCTGCACATGCTCTCCGCGACCGGATAGCTCCAAAATCTCGGGATCGCTTGCCCGTGGTCAAGTGCTCGTGGCAGAATTGGCACTGGTCTGAGAGGCTCCAGAGGCTCCGTGAAGCTGTGGACTCGGTGGACGGAGGCGTTGGAGCGGCTGCTGCGGCGTAGTTGTTTGTCCGGCGTCCTCCTTGCTGCTTCGGCAGGAGTGGCCCTGAGCAACTCGGCGGAGGCTCGCTGTGCGGCAAGATTGCAGTTCTCTTCCGCGCTCGTCGCGAGTCTGCAAAGGAACTGGGCAGGCTGGCCTGCAACCCGCTGGCCATGGCCTAAGCAGAAAGGATGTTGCACAGTGAGACGGATGATTGGAGTGCCAAAGGGCTGAAGATTCGCAAGCTGCGTTCTTGTTGGTGCGGACGCTGTGAGCCACAATCACAAAAGGTTCTTGCCCCAACTCACCACGTGCGACCTGTCTGGCAGTTGTCGGCAGAGTCACGCTCAGCATTGAGATCCCATTCGCCTGGCTCACAGACTTCACAGACTCTTGCAGCGTTGGCGACGGACAGCTGCATGCAGCTCTGTACTTGTCGGCTCGGAATTTCGGGTGTGTTTCTGTAGCGACGAGGGTCCAGGGACGCGAATGCAGCAGAGCTGTCGACAGCCGTGCATGCTCAATGTCCGACTTTAGATCGTGAGATTGCCGAACAAGCCATCAAATGCTCACATGAACGGATTGGCATGCATGTGGACTCCGAGGCTGTTTGCCTCGCTCATGCGCAAGGCAGGGTGCAGCAGCTTCTCGTGCTGGTCTTCAAATTAAGCAGTGCCATGTTGGCAACTGGATCCCACGACTTTCATGACTGTCCGCATGCATTGTGCTAGTGAGCTTCAGGTTTGTTAGCAACCAGCATGCACTGCTAACGGACCTTAGATGCTCCCTAGCAGCCAGAGGCAACCGCGAAGGCGTGAAAAGCACAGCTTCCGTGTTTCGAGTTTCGGCTTCCAGGGTGGCGAGCCACAGGAGCAGCTGCGGATGCTGTCGGCAGCGTGCAAGGAGGTCTGGAGAAGTCGCTTCACAGAGCCTGGCCACCGCCCGACCATGCATTGTTCTGGTATTTGTCTGAAGGCTTCGCCCCTGGCAGCCGCACAACTTGCCGAGTGCGCGTTCCAAGGAGAAGGAGGGAGGGTTGAGGCGACGCACGAGGTTGATTTTGTATCACGGTCTCCATACAGAAATTTTGGATTTCGCTAGAGGGCAGCAGTATGCGGTAGTGTCGAGGACTTCTTCCAAGAACCAGCACTCTCGAGGACACTGAGATGACGTGTGCGTAGTAGCTGAGGCAATCTGGACCGCTCTCAGCAGCTCTCCTACACATGCTGCCATTGCCCGTGACCCGGAACTGGCTCTGGCTATGCCTAGAGCAGGATGTTCTGTTTGAGCTGTCTCCAATGACGAGGCCGCGGGCCGTGTTTGGCGCGTTTCGCGACCTCCAGGCCTTGTTCACAGTCCTATCAGACGTTGCCCACCCGAACCCAAACCCACAGAAGCCAACACTGTGCACAGAGCAGTTGCTCCCTTGAAGGTGAGCCTCACCGCAAAAGGCCGTGCAGCCAGGAAGGGCGAGAGAGCAAGTCGTGCGGAGTGCAGCTTCTGCAGCACGACACTCCTGCAGGAGCCCGGAGCCTCCGGAAAGCTGGATCCTGTCCTTGGAGGGTGTGCTGTCCTCGTTGCGTGCAAGTTGCTTGCAAGATGTTTTCCTTGTAGCTTCGG